TATAGTATATGACAACCCCTTCCTAGTATTATTCTATGGTTGTACATGACTCTATCACTCTTTATTATGATCCACTTAAAAATATTTTTGTAAGGGCAGGGTATCAACATATTTGTATTAAGTTTTAGTTTGATCTATAGTAGAGTCAAAGGAATTTCTATTCATTAACCAGAACCTATTGGCATGAGCAAGATCTTCCTTAGTTGCTAAAAAAGGATTTTTTAAATAAACTTTTAACTGAAATATAACCAACACAGTGTATACCCTTTGGTGGATTACCACACACTGAATATAGGAGCACATAGTACAACCATGGCAGAGAGGAAAACACAGAACCTTGACTATTCCCCCAAAACCTGTGTCCCCCCTCTCTTATTCCTCCTCCTTCATCTTCACAGAAGATAAAGTTCCCTCTGAAAAATTTTTTTTCTCTCAGAATCAGGGATTGAACTCAGGCCCTTGCACTTGCCAGGGAAGCCCTTATTCCACTGAGCCAACTCCCCAGCTCTCCCTCTGAAATTCTGATAGGACAATTAGATTTTATGTAGGATAATCCAAAAATATTTCAACATTGAATAACATGGAAAGAAACCTCTGGCTGGGAGTCATTTAGTCCTGAATGTGACTTTGAACACCCACCATCTGTGAATTTTGCTTTTCTCAAGTTATCCAAGGAGAAGAACGATACCTGGCTCATTATTCTTGGAGTGAAGATATTAAATAACATAAGGTTAATCACACATAGAGTATCTTGGAAATAGGAAGCATTTAATAAATGATGGTTGACACTGAGGCACTCATCCTGGGCTCTACAGCAACTTCAGCAGGTGTTACATTTGGTCTCATTTAAAGTGATGATGTTGGGCCGGGGAGACAGCTCAGTAGAATAAATGTTTGTCTGGGCATGCTCAAGGGCCTGAGTTCAATCCCTGGTTCCACCAAATATAAAAATAAAATGTACCAGGCTGGTGAGATGGCTCAGTGGTCTAAAGTACCTACTTAGAACAAGCTTAGCAAAGCACAAGGACCGCGGTTCAATCCCCCAGCACCACATCCCAGCCAGCCCCGCCCCCCCGTGAGCTGAGCTGGCCACATACACACACAAAAATAAATAAATAAAAATAAATAAAAATAAAATGTATCAATAAAATGATGATGTTGAGGGCTGGGGAGATGGCTCAGTAGAATAAGCACTTGCCTGGCAAGCACAAGGGCCTGAGTTCAATCCTTGGTTCCACCAAAAATAAATAAATAAGTAAATAAATAAAATGATGATGCTTTGTGAAAAAGAACAGCAGTTTCACACACAAAAGAACCCTCAAAACTGCACATATTTCAGAGGCAAAATTTGATAGAAATTAGGTCTCCAACCCATCTACACAAAGAGCATGACTTCTATGTAAACATGCCAACCGTTTCTTTCAAGGTGGCCATCTTTTTCTCAAGGAGTTAAGGCATGAGGCACAAAGAAACCTCCCATTAAAATCCTTTTACATGCAGGGCATATGTCAAATATCACTGGCATGGATGACACTTGTAGTTTAGCTCATTCCAAGAGTTGGAGCCTGACCCTGAGGAGCCTGAATAACTCTTAGAAGATTCCCGAAGTGTGGACTGGATCCTGAAAGCTACAAGGAAACACTGAGTTCACCCATCACAAGCTTGGAGCTTTTAAATAGAGTCGCTGTTGTTCTCACAAGTCTGAATATTTGATGCAGCTAAATAATTTAAAACCTGTAAGCAATTGTGCTGCTCTTTGCCTCAGAGAACTTGCTGTCCTGCCTTGCTACCAGTAGATGCCGATTTGAAGCTTTGGAATAGCCTGTATTTGGGTCCTTGCTATGCCAGGTCTGACCTAGAGCTCTGGGGAAACCAACACAAAGAGCAGGATTTTGCCACCAGGTGCAGTGAGTCAGAACAAAGTGACTTCAGTTCAAGTGCCTCCTTCCTACACATTCTGATAAACATCTACATGTCAAGCTTATTCCAACAGGAACAGAGTCAGCTTCCCCCGCAGCATCTCAGAGAGACTATGGCCCAGCAAGACAGGGGCCATCCCTCCATCAATCCAAGGCTTGGTCCTTGTTGAATAAAAGGGACTTAGAGGCAAATAAAGGCAGAAGGTCTCTGCTTTTCAAAGCCTTTCCATTTCTTCTGAGTCTGCTGCAACACTTCTTAGAGGTATAGAGCAAAAGCCTTCAGGGATTCTTTCCCACATTCCTTCCTCCCCCCCTCCTCCCTGTCCCTCCATTCCTTCCTCTCCTGTTCACCTTTGGCACCACTTCCTCTCTCTGCGTCTTACCTGCCCCACCTATTCATCCTGCAAATGTCAACTGCGCATTTCCAATTTGTGGGCAGGTATGCTGGACATTGCACAGAACAGACACAGAATTGTCCCCTCATTTGGCATGCTTGTGGCCCACAAGGCACACACACACAAATTACTATAATGCCCTACAGGCAGCCTCTGAAATGGCCTAAGAAAGGGAAGATGCAGTGGGATGACCCAAGAACAAGAAGTCCCACTCATGGCCTTGACTTGAAGTGTTCTCTCTCACTGAATGGCCTCTGATTAAAGTTCAATCTAAAAGAGACAAAATTCTACACACCAACAGCCTCCCTTCCCCATGGAGCTGTCACCCACTCACCCTAGAACAGGGGCTGGGTACAGCACCACTGTTCCGCCCTCCAAAGAAAGTTTCTGTGAAAAGGACAAATACATGAGCAGAAGAATATACCTACCGTTTCTGTCTCCTCCTGCCATTCTGTATCCCTCCAGGGCTTTTTTCCCCCAAGTACACAATATTAATGGACTACAGGGTTGTGATCCCAAAATCCAAACCCACAAGTCAATATGTGCCCTGTAATCGAAGAATTTTTACGCTCAAAGCTGCAGTTATGGCCTGCAGTTATTTGGATTATTTCTGTCCACAGCTCAGGAAAAAACTAGGAAGCCAAGTAAAGCTAGCTGCTCCCTATACTGTTTCCAATTGCTTGTTTTCCTCTCTCATTTGCTCTGAAGGCTATGGATAAATAAATGAAGTGTCTATTACATCACTGACAGGCTGGGCCATCTGGGACTAAGTGGCCAGCCCTGCCCAGGTCCCAGCTGCCTTGGGGAGAGGAACTGGCTGGTTCTCTGGGACAGCTTCAACAGGAAATGATGGTGACTCAGCCCAGCATCCCGGACATTTTCCAAAATCCCTAGGCTTTGCTCCCTTGAGC